AGAAAGCACGGAAAAAGATGCCAGAGTCAAAGCCATGATTGTCTACATGATACTCAGTGCATTTCACACAGTTTGAAGCATTGTCTTGAGTGATTCCGCCAATCTTGTCTTTTGAAATTCCATACATATTTAAAGTTTTCAGCAATCCTTCTGCGTTGCGTTTGCCGGTATGACTGCCAGGTAAAGGCTCCAATGCAAGAAGTCCGAACCACCTCGAAATCCTCATTCAACATGGCAAATGTTACCCCCAGATATTCCTTCTTGTTCGGTCCTGTCCATCCATCGAGAGTAATTGAAATTTTCGAAGACGTGGAGCTGATCATCTCTGACACCTTTTCAACATAAATGGCAGCTTCTCGTTTAATGTCCTCCTTCATAGTCTTGTCAGAGAAGAATAGAGGATATTCCTTCGTTGTAATATATTCCCTGATGGCTGCTCGGACCATGACTTGGAAAACTGCCTCTTGGGACACCGAAAAGGGAAGATACTTCTTGGCAATATACCGGGCTACAGTTTGGCGGAATGTCGGATCCTTTTTAGCCCCCTTTTTAAACATAGTATTATCGAGAGTTGTCTGAACAACGTCTTTTGGTTTGGTTAATCCGTGCTTCAGCAGGAGCTTGCCTATATTTGTGGTGCTGCCTTGGATGCTAATGATTATTTTCTTGCATTTATCATTGACGGCACATTGATATTCCCTTTTTAAGACCATCATCTTTAATCAAGATTACATGGTTGTGAACCTATGATTTCTTCTTGTAGCTTTTCGTAGCGGGATGATGGTCAACAGGTGGTGCTGATGCATCCAACAGCGGATTTACCATCAATGTGGCTACCGTGGTCTCATCGCCGGTTTGAGACATAAAAATAATCGAGATACTTTTTTACGAGTACGGTCCAAACTTAGCGAATCCGGTCCGGTCCTGAAAATAAATTCATTACTACGATACGATACCGATCCTTCTAAAAAGTAATATTCGGTCCGATATGAATCGAAATCAAAGGACCGATTCCGAGGCCTATGTGTTCCATTGCTTGGTTGGCATGCCCTTGTGGGCTCATTCGTGCGACCAAGAATAGTGTTGGGGAAACCTTTACGTCCACACCATCTACGTGGTGATCATGCAAGATATTGCATACAAACTAACAAATATAAATTTGTTAGTGGTATGAGTGCAATCCCAGATGCCAGCAATATCATGCCTGATCGTGAGTGATTTACTGTTCATCTGGTATCTCGTTGAAGAGCAAGCATCTGGCTGGTTGATGAATTCATCTTGGCTCTGCTCAATGTACAGAATTAGATTTGATGGATGACAAATTTCCAAGTGTACAAACTTTTGTTAAACTTTGAACCCCAAATCCTCATTGTCACAATATTCAAGACCAAATCTCACTTGAGTGGATTTGGGCGACGAGGCTTTGATGCGTTGCAACCATTCGTGTTGAACAATACTGGTTTTTGTTTAATTAATCAAGCTGCAAACACTGAATCACTAGAGTTGGGCAGACTCTCGCTTCAATTCCCTCACCACGGCTGCCAGGGCTTCGGGATTCACGCCGGCCTCCAAGAGGGTCACGCAGTGGCCAATGGCCTGTCTGTCCAGTCCGACTCCCAAGAGTTGCGAGAGCTGGTGCAGGTTGTCGATTTGCTGACGGGCAGCGCTGGTGTGCGCTTCGGAACCGGCTTGCATGTTGGGAAAAGTCGGACGCAGATCAACGCTCACACTTTACTGAGATGTGCCTGCGAGTTGTGAAATAAAGACTTGAGCATAAATGCCTCACTCAGGAGCAACTCCACCTCCTTCTCGCCCCAGTCCTGCGTGGGCAGACTCTGCAGGAGGATCATAATGTCCTGTCGTCAGCAGCGCAGCCCTACCGAAAACTCCATCTTCTTGATCTGGGCCGACCACTTGATCAGAAAGGCGGCACAGACGTACAGATGGAACTCGGAGAACCCGTCGGGACCGTCAGACTGGCGTCAGCACCAAGCAGATACCTGGTAGCTATCCCACATGCGAATGGTGATCTTGAGCGACAGCTCTCTCATCAAAAGACAGTTCATCCAACGGAACGCAAACTGAATAAACTCGACTCCCTGGGTCTGCAAGTGGGCCGCAAGCGGTGCTGGGGTTAGCGAGACGAACAAACCATCCACGCGCGACACCAGCTCCTTCAGCCGACCAACCTGTCTGGTGATTCCCGGCTGTTTGTGGATATAGTTGTCTTGGATGCCGTCCAGCAACTTGGTTAGACACCAGTAGCAGTCGGCCTCGATTCCCTCGAGCACTGCCGGCGCCAGCGTGGAGGGATCGCTCTCTTCGACATTGGCACCTGGCGGATCAGAACTGCACGACGCACCCAAAAACTCCATCAGGAACACCTGGTAAAACGGCGTCAAGAGATCGTTGATTCCCTGAACATAGCCAGATGCTGGATGGCGGATGGCCCAAATATACAAGATTCGCTCCAGACACTACCGTGAGCCGGGCCAGCGTACTTGCTGGGTGGTTTCGTTCTGGTACAGCTTGATGTTGGCGTTGGTCCTCTGGATATCAATGTGGATTTGGTGGTGCAGCGCCTGGTCCATGTTTTCTTCACCGCGTCCCCAAATCTGGCCAATAAACTCTTGGTACTCGGCCCGTTTCCGTGCCAGCGTTGCGTCTCTGCGGTCGGAATTGGCCGGGAGATAGCCCTGCGCGTCAGCGGCCAGGCGGCCAGCCTACCATCAGCAGTTTCCAGACCGTGGGGCGGATTTCGTCGGGTATACCAGGCCAGGCCAGTTTGCGCAATTGATCTGCCATGAGCGACCGCAAACAAACCAAAATCCACGTTGGGCAGCTCCAGCAGCGTTTTGAATTTCTGACACCGAATGGAAAGCGAGTTGAGCTTTGCAATTTCGGTCATCATTTTTTGCTCTTCGAGCGTGTGCTCCGAGAGCGCCTGCGCCTTTGTGTCGTGTGTGAGCGGCTTTGGTTTCGACAAGAGCCCCAAATCTAGCGGCATGTCGGATCGTGTGTTTGAATCAGAAGTGTTGTGGTTGGAAACCGGGCTGTTTTTTTGGAAGAAGGATGCAGATGAAAACCTAGCGTCAGCGACCACGGCCCCGTACCCGGGAGACCCAAAGATTCCCGCTGATAATCCAAAGGACGGGGTTGCTTGCGGCGACGAAAATGAAGGTTGGCGAATCGATATTCTGGCGTTAGCGCTCTGACCGGCCTACGCTGTGGCTTTCGATTCCTTAGTCCAGTTTTGCATATCAAACTGGATCAAAAGTGTTGGTTTAGAGCGTTGTCGAGACCTTGGGCTCCGGTTTAAAAGTGTTGGCGAGAGTATGGTACTGCCTCTCCACGGTCGTCCGTTCCCAACCCATGTTCTCTTGAACGGATCTAGACCTGGCCAGCTCCAAGACCAGTGCCACGCTCGACCCAGCAGCTGTACAGAGCTGGCTGCATGGAGATTGCACGCTGCACCGACCCGACCGGATCTGCACTGGCCATCGACCTACCACGGCAGCCGAGGCAGTCGAGGCAGACCACAGATGCCAGAACAAAAACAAAAATGAAGACGGTGGGATTCGAACCCACGCTCTTTCGAACCGCGGCCTTAACACGGCGCCTTAGACCGCTCGGCCACGTCTCCATTGTCCCTGATTCCCTCGGTCTTGCTACAACAGCAAAACCCGCTCTCCTCTGCCTCAACCGCAGCCAGTACCCCGTGCCGTCTCGACAGACAGTCCGACCTCACACCGCAGTGCGACTCGGTCACAGTGACCCTTTCAGATGGCGGACACGTGACTTGCCTCCAAAACTTTGATGCAAAGGCTTTCTCATGCGATTGGGGTGCAGCATCCGCCGCTGCTAAAGGAAACCATCAGCAGCAACCTGCTCGGTACGGTTGCCAAGCATGGTTCCCGTTTGGCGCTGTATGTGGACCACCAAAAGTACCGGGCATCGTACGAAGAGTTTCTCGCGGAAACCTTCCGAGTGGCCAAGGGCTTGATGGCACTGGGGGTCAAGAAAGGTGACCGGGTGGGGATTTGGGCTCCCAATCGCTACGAGTGGCCGGTGGTTCAGTACGCAACCGCCCATTTGGGAGCCATCATGGTTGCCGTCAATCCGTCCTACCGACCGAGAGAACTAAAATACGCCTTGGACCTGGTGGGGATGTCTGTGCTGATCCACGCCAAAGCCTGGAAGGACCTGGACTACGTGCAGATGCTGCAGTCGGTCCAGGTCGAGTCGCTGCAGCACAAGATCGTGATGGACCACGAGTGGGACCAGCTCAAGACGGCCGGCGCCAGTGTATCGACAGAGCAGGTGATGCAAACAATCAGACACCAGGATCCAGACGACCCCATCAACATCCAGTTCACGTCCGGCACCACGGGGTCTCCCAAGGCTGCTCTCCTGTCGCACAACAACATCCTCAACAACGGATACTTTGCCGGCCAGGGCTGTCGGTACTCGCATCTGGACAAAGTGTGCATTCCGGTGCCGTTCTACCACTGCTTTGGCATGGTGCTCGGGAATCTGGCCTGCACCACTCACGGGGCGGCCATGGTGATCCCGGCCGAAAGCTTTGACGCTAAACGCACCTTGCAGGTGGTGGAGGCGGAGCGGTGCACATCTCTGTACGGCGTGCCTACCATGTTTGTCAACGAGCTGCCGCATGCGCACCACCACGATCTCTCGTCGCTGCGGACCGGCATCATGGCCGGCTCGCTGTGTCCCGAGGCGCTGATGAAGCAGGTCGTCGAAAAGATGCACATGAACGACGTCACGATTGGGTTCGGAGCGGCCGCTTATGCTGTGTAGGTATGGCCAAACAGAGACGTCGCCGCTGTCTACCCAAACGCTACCGACCGACTCGTTCAAGCAGAAAACCTCTACCGTGGGGAGCGTCCATCCGCACGTCGAAATCAAGGTGGTCGATCAGGTTACGGGAGAGATTGTGCCCCGAGGCGAGCTTGGCGAGTTTGCAGCCAAAGGTCTGGCGGCAGAGACTCACGGCAGGATACAACGTGATGAAGGGCTACTATGGCAATGCAGAGGCAACCGAGGCGAGCATCAAGGATGGCTGGATGCACTCCGGTGACTTGGCCGTGATGGACGACGATGGCTACATTTCTATTGTTGGAAGAATCAAGGACCTGATCATCCGCGGCGGCGAAAACATCTATCCCAAAGAGATCGAGGACGTGCTGCTGATGCATCCGCACATTGCCGATGCCCAAGTCATTGGCGTGCCGTGTGAAAAGTACGGCGAGCTGGTGTGTGCCTGGATCCAGCTCAAGTCTGGTTTGGCCCAGTCGGAGGTTTCCATTGCAGACATAACGCAGCTGTGTCAGCAGGAGCTGTCTCGGTACAAGATCCCCCAGTTCTGGCATTTCCCCACCGCCTTCCCGCTGACGGTGTCTGGCAAGGTGCAAAAGTACATCATGCGCGAGATGTGGGTGAACGACCACGACGGCATCCGCACCAAAGCAATAAAGACCTAGTGGCCGCGACTGGCGCAGTGCCCGAGTGCTGCTGCCCGGTTGGGATTCGGCACCTTGCCCAACAAACATGACGCACGAGTCCAAAACTTGGCTGGCGAGTGCGCCGGCAAAAGTCATCTTGTTTGGAGAGCATGCGGTTGTGCATGGACAGGCCTGCATAGCAACCACCGTGGACAAGCGAACGTTTGGATGGGCTACCGTTCCTGCCACGCTGCAGCCAGCTCTGGTGCTCGAGTGTGCTGACTTGGGGCTGAACTACTCTTCGTCTATCCCTGCGGAACACAGTCCGGATCAAGCCGTAGCGCTCGAGGCATTTCTGATGCTCTGCCGGGCCTTGGGCGTGGACAGCATTTCGGTCAAGATAGTGTCCGAGATCCCCATCGGTGCCGGGCTGGGCAGTTCGGCCTCCTACTCGGTCGTCCTGTCGAGCCTGCTGTTGCTGGCATCTGGCGCAATCTCCCCCGATCTGGGAGACAGCGACAAGGACCTAATCAATGACTGGGCTTTCAGAGCGGAAAAGGTCATCCACGGACAGCCGTCGGGCGTAGACAATACTCTCTGCACCTTTGGTGGGGCCAAGGTCTACCGAAGGAATGCCGCGCTGCGGGATCTGGAAGGGTATGGCGTGACTGGCTAACTGGCAGCTTTGATCTGGAGCCTCTCTTTCTGCTGACGGACACAAAGGTTGCCAAAAACACCAAGCGCCAGGTGGCCATGTATGCAGAGCGACTCAACAAGCAGCCAGACCTGATGAACCACATCTCCCACGCCATCGGATGCATCTCCCAGGCGTGCATAGATTTGTTTACCCGACAGGACACAGACCGGACAGCAGTGGAGCTAGAGTTTGCACAGCTGATTGCCACAAACCAAGCCCTGCTGTCTGCTGCCGGAATGAGCTGTGCGGCACTGGACCGCGTAGCGCTGCTCTCGCAAGAGCAGGGTCTGGCATGTAAGCTAACCGGGGCAGGAGGAGGAGGCTGTGCCCTGACTTACATTTCTTCCTTGGCCGCACTGGATCCCCACAGGATCGGCAGACTGGAACAGCAGCTGCGCAGCGAGGGCATGTCGTGTTTCCAAGCCAGATTGGGCGTCAAGGGCATCCAGGTCCTCGCACTGGCGTCGCTGCAAGATGAGAACTGGTTTGGTCTCCAGAGCAAGGAGGCCCTCCGGTCGCTACTGCCATAGCTCGCGGCAGCTTTTGTTTTTGCAGGCGCAGCGACTTTTCCCGATTGAGATGCAACTTTGGGTTGCGCTGTTCTCGCTTCTATCTCTGGGAATAAATGCCAAGGAGCACCTACAGAGTCTCGTCAAAGAAACCCTAACGCCAGCGACGGTGTGTTTTGCTGCGCATAACGGAGGCAAGACGTTGCCCGCTTACGGCAGATACACTCACGGTCGACTACATTGGAATATTATTCGATACTGGCGTCGAGTTTGAAAGGTCTTTTGGTATGATGGCTGCGCTGATAGCCAGGAGGCAGTCCGTTTGTGTTTGTGCTGGGGACTGATGCTGTGATTGCTGGATGGGACCAAGGGATTGTGGGAATGTGTGCTGGGGAGGTGCGCAGGCTGTCGATTCCATCTGGACTGGCCTATGGCCCTCGCGGTTCTGGTCCCATCCCGCCTAATGCAGACTTGATTTTTGATGTCACGCTGCATCGTATAAATGACAAGTCGCTGGAGGAGCTGCTGGAGGAACAGAAAAAGCGGAAGGCTGCGTTTGCCGTGACATCTCTGCCCGGACTGGATCAAGCGCTGCTCTCCAAAATGGACCTGTGGGCTGGCCATCTCAATCTGCCTACCGGCTCCACCCTTGCGACAAAGTACTTTTTCCTGCTGACCAAAAACAAAAAGTCGCCGTCCAACAAACTGGTGTTCTGGCTGAATGGCGGCCCGGGCTGCTCATCGATGGACGGCATGTTTCTGGAGTCGGGGCCGTTGCGGATCCAGACCAAGGGACGGCCCGAGACGTTTGCATTCAACGAGGACGGCTGGTGGGGCAGAGATGCCGACATTGTGTTTCTCGACCAGCCAACCGGAACTGGGTGCGTGGTCTGCTGCTGATGCTAGATACTCTACCGGACCTCTTTTGTCCAAGACCGAACAGGTGGTTGCCAATTTTGTGCTTTTTGTCGAAGCGTTTTTTGATGTGTTTGTCGAATACAAAAGCGACAGCCTTGAAATGTACTTGGCAGGCGAGAGCTTTGCCGGGGTCTGGATACCATACATTTCAAAGAGGCTGTTGAGTCAGGGATACCCCTTGAAGTCGGTGGCCATTGGGAACGGCTGGCTCGATCCACTCCGCCAGTATTTATCCGTTCTAGACTATTCCGACCAGCACTTTCCATTGAATGGAACGTTTCTCTTGCTGGCCAAGCAGCAGCAGGAGGAGTGCCACGCGGCCATGGCGGCTGATCCAACTCTGAACAACTACGAGGCTTGCGAGCAAATCATGAATACTATCCTGGACTACTCGAAGCAGGGCGGAAAATACTGCGTAAACAAGTACGACTATACCTTGAGGGACAAGGGGTAAGAGCGGTGGCCTGACTCCAGACCAAACGAGGGATGTGGCATGAGCTGGCCCTGGGGCGTGGAGGAAATGACGGCCTATCTCGGCAGAGGAGATGTGAAAATGGCCCTCCATGCTACCTCGTACACGTCATCCACCTGGCAGGAGTGCAATGACAGAGTGTTCTATGCCATTATCGCCGATCGCGTCCCTCCGTCGATCACGCTGTTCCCCGAGCTCCTGTCTCACATCACCATCAATCTTTTCGTGTAAGGCCGCTGGTCTTGACCCACAGAGGCGACCGGGACATTCTTTGCAACTACATTGGCCTGGAACGGACGGTGCAGCAATTGCAATGGCAGGGCGAGACGGGCATCCAAGCCGGCCCAAAGGCGTGGAAATATGGCTCGGTACTTTCTGCCCGAAACCTCAGCATGTACATCCTAGCAAATGCCTCGCACATGTCCCCCTACGACGCCCCTCTGGCTAGTCGCCAGGTGCTTTTGGATATGATACAGCAAGCAAAACGTGGGGAACAGACAACCAAGAGCGCAGCGCCGCAAACCACTCCAACGTCCAAAACCAGCGAAAAGATTAATCCACCAGCAAGCTCGGACGACTCTGCTGCCGCAGCCCGGCAAAACTCGATCCAGCCGTCGCATTTCGTGGCCGGGTCATTTCTTGTCCTGTTCTTTCTGGCTGCGGTCTTTGGAGGGCTGTATATCAGGAAAAAGCTGGTGACTGCTCCTACTCGCTGGTAATGCCGCCATCCGTTTACAAGTAGGAATCCTGTTCCCGAAGAGGAGGACATTGAGCTGGAGGATCAGCCAACTGCAAGACCGCATCGCATCCGCATCTCGCAGGATCAATAAACTCATTCAGTTCTTTGCTCTCGGGTGTACCCTCAATAGGCGAGTTGGCAACAAAGCCAGCCAACCAGCGTCGTTTGTTACAGTGCCAGGACCGGCTGCGCCAAAACCAACAGCGCATTCAGCTCAGCACAAACAATTCTATTTGACGAATGGAGCCAGAAGTGTCTCAACAAGCGCCAGTGGTTTAGTGGTAAAATTAACCGTTGCCATCGGTTAGCCCCCGGTTCGATTCCGGGCTGGCGCATGTTTTTTCTTTTGTTCCTGACCGGTTTTGCACTGCAGCCAAGGCAGTACAGGGGTTTCAAACCTTGACAAATTTAAATCTTTAACAAATAAATTTGTGATTGTTACTCCAACAAATAAATGTTTGTTAGTTTGTATGCAATATCTTCTTGCATGATGTGAGTGTTTATCTAAATCGAATCTCGTCAAGCTAGGAACTCCGAGACGTATCCAATCTACATTCTGTGCATTTATCAACAACTCTGTTCACTGTCAACAACATTAGATTTGTTGGCTGACAAATTTTCAACTGTTCAAACCTTTTTTTGTTACACTTTGAACCCCAAAGTTGCCGCAATGAGTTTTGCAAGTTGGATTGGCACAAAGCAAAAGACGCAAAAAGACACCAAACAAGGGATTTCCACTTTAGAAAAATTAAACAAACCCAACAGCGTCAATCCGGCCGGTGTCGAGGAGCGTCGGGATGGCCGGCAGCGGCTGCACGGGGCATTTCAGGGCGGGTTCAGCGCGGGCTACTATGGCACTGCAGGGTCAAGGGAAGGTTTGGCTGGCCGCTTTGATGGGTAGGCTGGCAGCCGTCGCAGTTCAAGTCGGGACGAAACGTGGAAAAGCAGCATCGAGATCGCATGGCAAACCCCTACGACTTTATGGACCAGGAGGTGGGACTGGCGGACTCATCACCAGGACATTCAAGAGTTTGGTGCCTCGGTCCTGACGGGCCAGATGTCGCACGGCAACAGCTATTCCGAGCTGGGCAGCACCGAAATGGAACTGAAGCGAAAGCAGCTGCTGAAGGACATGGGAGAATACAGCGTGCTGACCGGATCTACCTCCTCGCTGGCTGACTTGATTGTGCCCATTGCGTCCAAGAAGGGCCACCAGCTCTTGGTGAAAATGGGACTCCGACCGGACGGCTCCATTGCTGGAAAGAAAAAGATTATCCAGTACACTGCTGCGGCAAACGAGCTGGGTCCTGATGGCAGCCGCGTAGATCCTGTCGCTACCCTGCATGCCATCCTGCGGCTCAAAAAGTCGCAGCTGGCTGGATATACCTATGGCAGAGGCTACGACCCGCTGAAGAATGCCCCCGAGTTCCAGAGATCCCACCAGCAGGACGCCAAGCCAGAGCCGACATCGGCCCAGCCCACCACCAAGAAAGGTTTGACAGTCTGTGTTCATGCTCACTGCAGAAAGCGGGTTTGGGATTGGGATTTTCGAGGACGAAGACATGGATACGCTGGAGATGGGTGGCCCGACATCGTATTCGTCTGTTCTGCTGGACGAGGAAGAAGAGGAGCAAATGCTCAAGCTGGAAAAGGAAAGGGAAAAGAAAAAGGTCCAGGAACGTGCCGCTGCGTCCAAGGCTACAACCCGAGCGGGCGTGATCCCGGGGTTTGTCGCAGCTCCTCGAAAAGCGGTCCAGCTGCCAAAGGTCTATCTGGCCCCGCATCCGCCCACGGGGTATGTTCCACTGCCGTCATTTAAAAACCCCATCTACGCGGATCTGAAAAAATCTATGGAAGAGGCCGAGATGGCACAGGACCGGGCGAGACAGGCGTCGCTGCAAGCCAGTGCGCCAGAGGATCTAGCCAAGCAGTCCATCTTTTCGTTTCTGACCCTGAAAAACAAGGAGCGGCTGGATGCGTTTGTGTCCAGGGCCAGCACCATCCCTCCCAAACGGACGTCGCAGACTGTCCCCGAGAAACCAAACGCCCCGCCACCAGTCTTTACAGTTCCCACGTCCATTGCCGAGGCAGCCTTGAAGGGCTTTATGCCGTTTGGAAACGACATACCCAAGCAGGAGCGCTACAAACAGTTTCTTCTAGACATCGTAACCAAGGCAACTTCCACGGCAGCATTGGATCCTGCCGAGGGCAAGCTGACCGACGAGGGCAAGCTGACCGACGAGCAGGCTTTTGAAACCAGAGAATTTTCCAAGGCAGCCATGATCTACCGTCCCCTTTCAAACATGATTGCGTCGCGGTTCACCAACGAGACCGGAAAGGATCTGGGGCCGGTGGACGACTTTTCGGTACCGGCTTTAGGCTGACACTAGGCTCCCTGTCGCGTCATCAGGACAGAGTACAAATGGAAACCCTCGAAACTGACGTGCAAGCGCTTTGCCGTTGCTTTTAAAGACGACTCGGACGACGAGGACCAGGCGGTGCTGGCGGAGAGCAAGCAGGCTCTGAATCCCGAGACAATGAAGTCGCTGATCGAAGAGAGAGACCGGATTGCCCAGAGCGGCGAAATCACCGCAGACATCTCGACTGTGGCTCCGATTGCCACCGTCTCTCACGACGATCTCTTTGAATTCATGGGCCAGGAGGAAGACACTGCCGATGACGATGGCGCCGAACTGCAAGTCCAAGACAAGCCATCGATGGACCTCTTCAAGGCGATCTTTGCCGACTCGTCCGACGAGGAAGACGCTGCCGAGGTTCTCCCGCCATCTGGCAATGTCAACCCTGGCCCCACTACAGAACCCGACACAGACATGGCTGAGAATGCGAAACCACAACCGGCTCCGGAAAAGCCTGTTTTTTCAGTGTCTCGTCCTCCGGAAGTGTCCACAGCGGCGGAAAAGAGTCCCGACGAAACCCAGCTGTTTTTTAAATCCAGAAAGGCCGGCGCGACTCGAAAAGCGCTGCCGGTGGAACCCCAAGATGACGAGCCAGCGTCGTTCCGGCCAATGTTCAAGGCTGCCGGTTCTGTCGCGGCTTCGGCTCCCAAGGCCAAGGGCAGCGTGGCGATAGTTGGTGCCCGGCGCAAGAAGCAAAAGCTGATTACGCGGGTGGTGGACTCGGAGGACGACGATCCGGCTGAAGACAGTCGCGGAACAAGGCCTTCTGCCAAAGACTTTATGTAGCAAACCAAGCGGCTGGTGTATGGCGGGCCAGTGGCCCAATCCGCTCGGCTGCTTAATCAATTAAAGACAATGCCGTCACTTTGACGAAACCGTGTGACGAAAGCACTTTTTCTGCAAGAATTGCTGAATTGGCAAGGATGCTGTCGGTTGCTAATCCGGTGATAATCACGCTTGTGTTGGTCCCGATATCGTTTGTGTTTTCGATCGGAATGAGTGTGTGGGTCTTTCGAACGTCGCGACACCAGCCCTTTATGCAGCACATTGTCGCCGCTCTTTTGCTGAAATGTGTCTGCGACGTGGTGTGCTTTGGTCTGGCCTGTCGCAGCGATGCCATCTCTCAAGACAGCAATGCTGTCAATATCTTTACGCCGTTTACCACCAGCATCAACATCATCATTCCCATCAATGTGCTCATGATTTCTCTCATCAATTCGGAAATCCTGGCAGTCTTTAGCATCCTGGACGAACGACTGACGCCGGCCCTCATCTATACGCTGCGGTGCCTGATGGTGGTTGTGTTTGGCGTGGTGTTTGTGGTGCGGACTTGGTGCGTTGCCGAGTTTGCCGACCAGTGCCAGAGGCCGTGGCCGACGATCTCGTACTACGCTCTGTTTGTGTACAGCTCTCTCGTTATCGTGTTGGATCACGCCCAGTGCTTCTTCTTGGCATTCAAGGTGATGAAGCTGACCGGCAGAAAGGCTGCGGCCGTGAACACTGCGAGAGTCAGCCAGTCTCTAAAAAAGGTGGTGATGACCAACTTGGCCATCTGCGCCATGGACTATACCGTCGGCATCGCTGCGCTTATTTGGGGGATGAATCAGAACTTTTTCTTTGCGATTGGTGTGGTGGTGGTGGGACTGACCGGGATCCATCTGACAGTTCTGGTGGTCGTCCTTCGCAACCTGCGGCACCACATCCAGCTAGGCATTGTGAAAAAATCGACCGTTGTAAAGGCAACGCCAGGATCGGAATCGATACCAGACAAGACCCAGCTGATCCAGTACCATGATAATATCAAGCTTTTATAGCACCGTCTATTCTGCTGCAGCATAAATAAATCCAAACCGCCTACACAGTCTGCTTGGTGGGCCATCGCTGCCGCCAGGACTGGTCTACTTGGCTCGAGCGTGTCCCGTCTCGTTGATGTGGTTGAATAGTTTGGTCTTGGAGGCAAAGCCTTCTTTGCACACGTTGCAGCTGAATGCAGCGTGTGCGGTGGTTTCCTTGGCAGCTCTTCGTTTCTTTTTCCCTCCCGACGAATTGTCCAGGGCTGCGTCGTCCGCGGGCACCGGTTGGGACGAGATGCCGTTGCCCGGTCCGGACTCTGGCGGCCTCGCTACCGGCTTTTGCTTTGCGGCCTTCAAGGCAGCCCGGTGCTTCTTGTTCTGTTCGTGCGCCGCCAGTTGGTCTTTGGTGGCAAAGCTTTTCACACACACCTCGCACTCGTACAAAACCGTCTCTGGCTCAGCAGCTGGGGCATCGTCAAGGACGGTGCCAGACAGAGACAGCTCCAGGTCTTCTTGCGCCAGCTCCTGACGGAGAGCCTCTACGATCTCCAGATGTCTCTGGGTGTTGCAGTGGGCATCAAGCTGGGGTGAGTCACGGGCCGACCAACCTTGGACTGCGACCGAAAGGCCTTGTAGCACACTATGCAGGCAAATTCTTCCAGCAGGATCCCGTCTGGATCCATCAGATCGCCGCCATCGTCCTCCAGCAGGGTCCAGTCCGCCGCCACATAGTTTGATATGGCCGACAGCTTTTCCTGTTTGTCCCTAGCCTCCTTTTCCCGCTGCACCTCCTGGTGCTGCTGCGACCGCCGTTCCTGTTCCTCGAGCCAGTGCTTGACGCGAGGATCTCGCTTTTTGACGTAGATGGCGAGTTCCCGAACAGCCGTGGAAAATTCTTTTCGGGCAGCTTCTCTCAGCTTCTTGTTTTTCTTTTCGGCCAGTCTCCTCCGTTCGCGATCCGGATAGTCCAGCGGGTTGTACTCGTCAAACCACCGGAACGACTTGCACGAGCTGAACGAGGTAAAGCGGTTGTAGAAGCCGCGGAGCTGATCGCCATATTCCAGCGAGCTCTCCCCAAACGACCACTGCTCGTCCACCGCCATGTCCAGCAGGGATTCGCCGTCG